GGGGGGGGAGGAAATTGCCTAATAAACGTTTAGTAATACCACTAAAAGTCAGTTTTCATTTCGAACGTGTGCCATCCAGTTCTGTTTCATCTTACTGTATCTCTTAGAACTGATTCTACAACGCGTGAACGGTACTCGCTTTGATGCACCGATTCTAACGCATGGGAAAAAGGGAAGCTTAACAGCTTAATTCAATAAATAGAAGCGTGTGTACCACTTTTCTTTTGCCTACATATAATAGGTCACTTTTAAGCACACTGGGACTATTTCGAAATATGCTGTTATGAGAAAATTGAAGTAAAAGTTTCAGGACCCTTGTGCAGTTTCTTTAAAAGACAAGGGGAGTTTTCTCTATAGCCAAACACATATACACCAACGAAACCAAACTTCTCTTATAGATCTAGGTATGGGGCAATGCCCACTTTTGGTGCAGGTCAAGATTTCTGGAAACCCCCGAAATCTGGGTTAGCCCGCTTGTCCTGAAAAGCGACCAAATTGAGTCGGTGGATTTGAATTGTAAAAGTATAGGGGAAAGAAAATACAGCAATATATACTCTCAAACCAATTACTTAGCTTTAAAATTAAATTATAACTCACCTATGGTGTACCACTGTTCTGTTATAATTCAATTTGTGAGCCCCATTGAGAGTTTACAGAGCGGCAGTAATCCAACTAGAGTACGTATCCAAAGTGAATCTTAAACCACCACCACCACCACAACCATCGTCGTCACTTTTTTCTCTGTCTTAGTAGAATACAATTCATGGTTAGTCTGCTCCTCTAGAAGAATAGGAAAACGCAGCAGAAGGAGACAGACAGACAGGCGGGCGGAGAGGCGGACAACAGTTTGAGGGGAACAAACACACTCGTTTCTCTAGCACTCTGATGATCAGGACAACAAGGTGAAATGCACGCACGTGCTCCCTCGCTTGAGTACCGGCGACACCGTGTGGGCTCCGTAGCGCGCGCTCTCACAATAGTAGTGTGAGCAGCCTGTGGTCGGTCGCCACCGCTCGCTCACCCCCACACGCACACACGCGCTACAGAGAGAGCGGTCTCTTCAAACAGGCTGGGATTGGTAGCAGTTGCTCCTCGCTCACTGGGTCGGCCGGCACAGGGCGTCCGTCTATCGTCGTGGGCGCGTGTTTTAAGCGCTCATCTACAAAGCACAAGCTTCTCCAGTTGCGTGGCCCTCCGGGTACGCGGGAATAGATCAAGGACCTTATCCAGGTTCGTTAAATAAACTCGCGGAGAGATCTGATTTTTTAAGGGGTGTGTG